ATAGGTATTGCATCGAATCTGTATATTGCTTTGGGTAGTATGGACATTTTGATGATGTTAATTCTTCTAATCCATGAACAAGGTATATGTTTCCATTTGTTTGTGTCTTCCTTGATTTTGTTCTTCAGGGCTGTGTAGTTTTCTGCATACAGGTCTTTTACCTCCTTAGTTAGGTTTATTCCCAAATATTTTATTTTTCTTTTTGCTATATCGAATGGGATTTTTTTCTTTATTTCTGCTTCTGCTGATTCACTGTTGGCATACAAAAATGCCTTTGATTTCTGGATATTGACTTTGTAACCAGCTGTTTTGCCAAACTCATTAATTAGTTCGAGCAGTTTTTGGGTAGAGTCTATAGGATTTTCCATGTACACTATCATGTCATCTGCAAACAGTGACAGTTTTGTTTCCTCCTTTCCGATTTGGATGCCTTTTATTTCCTTTTCTTGCCTGATCGCTGTGGCTAAAACTTCCAGCATTATATTGAATAGAAGTGGTGAAAGTGGACAACCTTGTCTTGTTCCTGATCTTAGTGGAAAAGCTTTTAGTTTTTTCCCATTGGGTATGATATTGGCTGTAGGTCTCTCATATATGGCCTTTATTATTTTGAGAAATGCTCCCTCTCTTCCCACTTTGCTGAGTGTTTTTTATCATAAATGGGTGTTGTACCTCATCGAAAGCTTTTTCTGCATCTATTGATATGATCATGTGATTTTTGTCTTTGCTTTTGTTTATGTGATGTATTACATTTACTGATTTGCGAATATTGAACCATCCTTGCATCCCTGGGATGAATCCCACTTGATCATGGTGTATGATCTTTTTGATATATTGTTGGATGCGATTTGCCAATATTTTGTTGAGGATTTTAGCATCTATGTTCATCAGCGATATTGGCCTGAAGTTTTCTTTCTTTGTTGTGTCTCAATCTGGTTTTGGAATAAAGATGATGCTGGCTTCATAAAAAGAATTTGAGAGTTTTCCATCCTTCTGGATTTTTTGGAATAGTCTGTGGAGAATAGGGGTTAGCTCTCCCTTAAATGCTTTGTAGAGTTCTCCTGTGAACCCATCTGGTCCAGGGCTTTTGTGTGATGGGAGTTTTTTGATTACTGCTTCAATTTCTTTTGCTGTTATTGGTATATTTAGATTTTCTGCTTCTTTTTCACTGAGTTTTGGAAGATTGTATTTTTCTAGAAATGTGTCCATTTCCCCTAGGTTTTCAAATTTCTTGGCATACAGTTCTTCATAGTAATTTCTTACAATCCCTTGTATTTCTGTGGTATCAGTTGTAATCTCTCCTTTTTCATTTCTGATTGTGTTTATTTGTGTCCTCTCTCTTCTTTTCTTGATGAGCCTACTTAAAGGCTTGTCTATTTTGTTTATCTTCTCAAAGAACCAAGTCCTGGATTCATCGATCCTTAAAATTGTGCTTTTAGTTTCTATGTCATTTAATTCTGCTCTAATCTTGGTTATTTCCTTTCTTTTGCTTGCTCTGGGCTGTCTTTGTTGTTGTTCCTCGAGTTCTTGCAGGCGTAGGGTTAGGTTGTTTGTTTGAAATGTTTCTATTTTCTTTAGGTAGGCCTGTATTGCTATAAAATTCCCTCTCAGGAGTGCCTTCATTGTGTCCCATAAGTTTTGGGTTGTTGTGAGATCATTTTCATTTGTTTCCAGAAACGTTTTGATTTCTTCCCTAATTTCATTCTTGACCCATTCATTGTTTAATAGCATACCATTCAGTCTCCATGATTTTGGGTGCTTTGGGTTTTTTTCTTTGGGGTTGGTTTCCAATTTCAGTCCCTTGTGGTCAGAAGATGCTTGGTATGATTTCAATTTTCTTGAATTTTTTGAGGCTCGTTCTGTGTCCTATCATGTGGTGTATCTTTGAAAATGTTCCATGTGCATTTGAAAAGAATGTATATTTAGCTTCTTTGGGATGAAGGGCTCTATCTATATCAGTTAAGTCCATTTCATCTAGGGTGTTGTTTAATGCCACTATCTCTTTGTTGATAATTTGTTTGGAAGATCTATCCATTTTTGATAGTGGGGTGTTAAAATCCCCTACTATAATTGTGTTGCTGTCTATATCTTTCTTGAAGTCCTCTAAGATTTTCTTGATATATTTGGGTGCCCCTATGTTTGGTGCATATATGTTTACAATGTTAATGTCTTCTTGGTGGATTCTTCCCTTGAGTATAATGAAGTGACCTTCTGGGTCTCTCTTTCTGGCCTTTTTTTTGAAGTCTATTTTGTCCGATATGAGAATTGCTATTCCAGCTTTTTTTTCTTGTCCGTTTGCTTGGAAAACTTGTTTCCAGCCTTTTACTTTTAGTCTGTGATGGTCTTTTGTCCTGAGGTGGGTCTCTTGTAGGCAGCATATGTGTGGGTCATGCTTTCTTATCCATTGAGCTATTCTGTGTCTTTTGATTGGAGCATTTAATCCATTTACGTTTAAGGTTATTATTGATAGGCACTTATTCATTGCCATTTTTGTACCTGTGTTCCTCTCTGTCTCCCTCTTATCCTTCCTTCTCTTAAAGCAGTCCTTTTAGTATTTCTTGTAGAGCTGGTTTGGTGGAGGCATATTCTTTTAGGCTTCCTTTGTCTTGGAAGCTCTTTATTTGGCCATCTATCTTGATTGAGCACCTTGCTGGGTAAAGTAGCCTTGGTTGTAGACCTTTGGTTCTCATTACTTGGAATATTTCTTGCCATTCTCTTCTTGCTTGAAGTGTTTCCATTGAGAAGTCAGTAGCTAACCTTATTGGGGCTCCCTTGTATGTAATTTCTTTTTTCTCCCTTGCTGCCTTTAAGATTCTCTCTTTGTCTTGGAATTTTGCCATTTTGATGATGATGTGTCTTGAAGTGGGCCTCCTTGGGTTCCTCTTGATTGGGACTCTCTGTGATTCCTGGATTTGTGAGACTTTTTCTCTTATCAAATTAGGGAAATTTTCTCTCATTACTCGTTCAAATATGTTTTCTATCCCTTGTTCTTCTTCTTCTCCTTCTGGTATTCCTATTATTCAGATATTATTACGTTTCATATTGTCTTGCATTTCTCTTAATCCCTCTTCATTCTTTCTGAGCCTCTTTTCATTTTGTTGCTCTTTCTGTGAGATGCTTTCTACCTTGTCCTCCAACTCACTAATCCTATCCTCTGCTTCATCTATCCTACTTTTGAAACTTTCTACTGTGTTCTTCAATTCAGAAATTGTATTCTTCATTTCCTCTTTTCCCTTGCTGATAGTTTCCATTTCCTTTTTCTTGTTGATGTAGTTTGCAGAGAGATCATTGTAGTTCCCCTGTAGTTTCTGGTAGTTCACTGTGAGCTCTTTGAACTTCGTAATAACCAGTGCTTTGAATTCACTATCTGATAGTTGATCAGCCTCTATTTCATCTAACATTCTTTCTGAAGTTTCTGCTTTTTCTTTCATTTGGGGATTGTTTCTTTGACTTCCCATTGTTTGAGACTCTTCTTGTTAGTCTCTGCTTCTGAAATTGATCTGTTCTGAAACCCTGGTTTTATGGCATGAACTTCTGTGGTATGATCCTTGTGAAGTTCAGTGGTGCAGACTCCTTTAAGTTTCTTGATGTTCTTCGTCTCCACCTACTCTCATGCTGGTCCTCGTGCTGGTCCCTGGGTTGATTGCCTACCACTGCTGAATGTCCTGGCTCTAGTAGCTGCCTCCTCCAGCACCCAGGCTCGTTACTACGGCAGCAGCACAGGGGCTGGGAATGTCCCAGCTCCCGTATCTGGCTCCTCTGCCGCCCAGGGCCGTCACAGGGGTTTGGAGTGTCCCGGCTTCCATACCTGACTCCCTGGAGTCCAGTCTCCTTGCTATGGCAGTGGCACAGGAGCTGAGAACATCTCGGCTCCCGTAGCTGGCTCCTCAGGGCCCAGGCCTGTCTCTATGGCAGCGTCACAGGGGCCTTTGGTGTCCCAGCTCCTGCAACTGACCCTTCCGTTGCCCAGGCTGGTAGCTATGGCATTGGCACAGGGGCTGAGAATGTCCCAGCTCCAGTTCCTGACTCCTCTGTCTCCCAGGACCATCACAGGGGCTTGGAGTGTCTGGCTCCTGTACCTGACTCCCCGGCTCCCGGGCCTGTTGCTCTGGCGGCAGCACAGGGGCCGCGTGAGACCCAGCTCCAGTAGCTGACTCTGCCGCATCTGGTGTTTCAGTGTCGGTCACAATCTCTGGTCTTTTAATTTCATAAACGCTGGGTAACCGATGGTTTATTGTGCTGTTTCTCTATAGATCTGCCAGGATTTTCACCCATGAGTACAGGAGCTAGCATCAGCTCCATCTTACTCCGTTGCCATCTTCCCAGCATCTCTTAGAATGAGGTTTTGATCCCATGTTTCTGATCCCAAAGCCTATGCTTTATATCAGTAGGCTATGATGGTATAGGCTGCACTACCAAATGTCACAGGAACCTGACATGAGAAGTGCAGGCACAGCTCAGCAAGATCAAAGGAGGTATAGAAAGAGGCAAACTCTTCTACCACCAGGCACCTTTCCTAGTGCTGATGCCCCTACAGGGATCAATAAAGGCACCAATAAAGTTACTGTATTTCCATGTTGGAAAAACCTAGAACTTCCTTATATTTAATTTATTCTATCTATCACCCATCTATCACATGAAGAGGGATTCAAGCCACATTGGCCTCTCAGCTCTTCTTTGAATAGGCTAAACATGCTCCTGTCTTTCAAGTTCTTTGTTATTTCTGTTTTGCTAATGGTAGGGACCTTGAAAAGTCTTAATCTGGCCTTTAGATCTGATCAAGGCTTGCACCAAATGATATGAAGTGGATGTCGTTTTTTTCAACACATTGTAGCAATGATCATACTCTGAAACATAAGCTGACACTCACTTTTCTTTTTTTTAAAATTTTATTTAGTTATTTTTCAAGTACAGTTTTTTGTCTATTTTTCCCATCCCAGCCTCCCCCGCCCCTTGCTCCCCACCTCCCTCCATTTCCACCCCCCTTAGTTCTCGTCCCTGTGTCCTTCCTATTTGTTCCTCCAAATCCCTCCCCCATTTTCCCCTTAACTTCCCTTCCTTCTCCCCTCTGGTCACTATCCCTTGTGCTCTATTTCAGTGTCTTTGTTTTTGACACTCAATTTTCAAAAAAGATTTATTGAAGTCCTGTTATGGGGTAGGCCCTGTGCTGGGCATGCAAATATGAACATGAACTAGGTTGTACCCTAAAGAATTCATCAGTGTACTTAAAGTTTGTGTGTGTGTGTGTGTGTGGCGAGGGGGAGATGGAGATAAGAGATGGTCCTATGGGCCAGGCCATGGATGGACTTAGATGAGTAGAGATGGCAGGGGTGGGTGGACTTGCTTTGTGTATAAATCAATCAAACAAACTGGTGGCATCTTAATCAACTTTTTAGCATCATCAGTAGAAATGGGTTAACTGCACCATTCAGAATTTAACACTCCACATATCTGCAGTCTGACTGAGACCCAGGTGTTGTGAGGAGCATTTTGTTGGAGGCATCTATTTAAGTCTTCTCCTGCTTCTTTCTCTTTTCTTGCTGGTTGTCACAGAGGGGAACTCATATATCTCCTGCCTGGGTACAGTTTTCCTTCAGGATGTTTAACTGAAAGAACAAAAGCCACCAATTTAAGACCCAGAAGAAACTGCTCAAATACCAGGTTTTGCTTCATATAAAGATGATCATTTTTACTTGTTTTTTTCTTTCTTTATTTACTAATACTATTTGAAAAGGAATCAAAACATTAAATAATTTTCAGAATGACTTTTGTAGAAGTTAATAGCTAGGAATCAAATAAAAAAGCAGGATATCTATTAAACAGACCTCACACAAGTGTACCTGGCCTTGGCCTTGGCCACCTATGGAACTGTGACCAAATTGCAGGAATAACTGTAGAATGGGAGGAAGAAGTACAGCCCTGTCTTGAGGGTTAATAGTTTACATACAGAATTCTAAAATGGTAGCCAGTATCACTTGAGGGATTAAAGTGATTAAAACCACTGCCTCCCAACCATACACAAAGTACCCTGGACTACAAAAACCAACCAAACAAAAAACCCCCCACAACGACAAACCAAAGCAGCTTACTGCCTATGGCTCTGCTCTCTTCCAGGGAGGTGCTGCATGTGGCGCTTCTCTTCCTCCGAGTCATCAGTGCCTGTGCAGATGGCAAGATCCGCATCTATAATTTCTTAAACGGAAACTGTCTGAAGGTGATGAAAGCCAATGGCAGAGGTGACCCTGTGCTGTCCTTCTTTATTCAGGGCAACAGGTGGGTGATAGGTGAGGAGGCTGGAGTGGTGAACAATTCTGTTTGGATGACCTTTTCCTTCTCTGGGACACCAGCCTCGTATTTGCTGGCAATGGGAGACAGTAGGTAAAATTAGGCTCTCCTCCAATTTTGGCTGGGGGAGAATAATAGTCCTGTGGGAGACTAAGTGGACTTTGCACCAGATTAGCAATCAGGGTTCACATCACTCTTTTTTTTTTTTTTTTAAAGATTTTATTTATTTATCTTTAGAAGGGAAGGGAAGGAGAGAGGAAGAGAAACATCAATGTATGGTTGCCTTTCATGCGTCCCCTGCTGGGAACTGGCCTGCAGGGAACTGGTCTGCAACCCAGGCATGTGACCTGACTGGGAATCGAACCGCAATTGTCTGGTTTGCAGGCTCGTGCTCAATCCACTGAGCTACACCAGCCAGGGCCACATCACTCTTAATTTGTTCTAGATATCTGGGCAAATTATGCCGTGAGTGCAATATGGCTGTGCTGGGGGGGGCCTGCAGCCTGCCAACTGCAGCCCCCCACCTCCACCCACCTGCTTCCTGAGCATGTGTTCTGCTGCCAGAGAGCTCCAGGAGAGCTCCCTTTGACACCTCACTTCCAATGTGGACATGTACGAAGGCTGGGGCAGCGGGGGGTGGTGGTGGTGGCAAGAGGTCCAGTGTCCAGTGGGACAGTGCTGAGCAGATGAGTTTATGGAAACCAGAATCATTACTAAACTAACTATATGTAGAACTGTGTTTGTTATATGACACATTCAGTGTGATATTATATGAAAATTCCCAAATATAATTAACTTTAAATTCTACCGGAGGGAGGCTTACTTCAGATATCAGCTAATCTCCATGAATCATACCGCCTTCTCTTTAATGAAACATTATGAATACTATTTCTCATCTTAAAAGGAGAGGGCTAGAAATAAGTCCCAATAAATAAACACTTCTCAGTCATGAGATAATAATGTTTAAAAAAATCACCTCTGCCTTGTTTTCATTCAGGACATTTGAAAAGAGACTATTTCCTTTTGGCTGGAATTAAAATAAATCTGAAAGAGACTTCTAATTAGAGTGATTCCCCAAGTTTTATTCCAGTGTTTTCAACCAAATTGAGTCAGTCTTTTAGAGAGTTAATACAGACAATTAAGGTCTTAAAATCACAGCTTCTTGGAGCTGAGAGGACTGCGTAGATATTTCCATTTCTTAGAAATGGAAAGTCTCTGGTGGCAGGAAGTCTACAGGCCCTGAGCTGGGAAAGCAACGTGATCTATGGACACTGTGAACAAGAGAAACCAATGCTCAGGTGTGAGGAAATTCTTGGGGGGGGCCTAGGCTTGGAACTTCTTTCTTACCAGGTCATTGAAGTGGGGATTAGGGAAATGGAAATCATCCTGCTTTATAAAGAAGAAATGTTCCATCCAAATGTAGAGCAAGCACAGAGCCTCTGGAGTGCAGGAGTGCAAGAGATGGGCTGGAGGGTCCTGAAGAGAGGGAACTCCCCCCATTACAGTTTTCCACAGCACTAGAAATATGACATTTGGATGCTGTGCTTTAAAAAAGAGTGAATTTAAAGATATCTGCGGGCTGAGTACCTAAGCCTCTGCCTTGGGCATCCTAGGTACTTGGTATTCACTCCAAGGCTGGAAATCCTTTTAAAAATATTTTAACTCCTGTAATGGCATAATCAATAAAAATAAATAAATAATTTAAAAAATATTTTAACTCCAAAAGCAAAGTAATCAGAACATATGTGCCCTACTCACTTTAATTAACAACAACAACAAAACAGCACTCTGTTCCGTGGCCTGCTGCGATCCTTCAGCAACCTGCAAAACCTATTGGTATGGTCATTTCCCAGGGCATTTTCCCTAGGCCTGAGGGCTGCACAGGAGAGTAGCGGACATGCAGAAGGGGGCGGGGCAGACAGTGGTGACCTCCAGGCTCCTTTTGTGGGCAATCTTGTTGTTGTGGTTCCAGGATGTTGGTCAACACGGAGAGCAATATTCTCATGTTCCAGTTTGAGAATATAAAGTGGCAATACTCCCAGGAACGGACCAAACAAAAGAAGAACAAGGACAGAGAGGAGAACAAGGAAGAAAACAGCCTCACAGAAGTCCTCTCCAAGGCTAGCACTCAGGTGTACAGCCTGAGGGGCTCCACATCCAGTAAACAGGTGGTGGTCCAGGAGTCCCTGCTAAGTAAACCTCACAGGTCTCGAATTCAGCTGAGGACAGTCAAGTTACCAACAGGTAAGAGGACTGACTCCTGGGTCCCCTCAGTGGTAGACAGTGGGGCAGGTGATAGGCTTCCAGGCCTAGTTTCTTTGTGAGATATTTTGGCCGTTGATTTCTTTATGGTATAAATTCCATACCTTTAAGAAATTAAGAGTAATTTTCTTTGATTGCCAATCTGTTAGCCAGCTCAAGGGAACTCCCTGATTTTCAAGGCCTAAGTTTTCAGACTTATTGGAATCTTTGCATAGTAGCTAACATTAGCCCTTAATACTTGCCGTTAATACAAAAAACAGAGAAACAACATCCTCTTCCCACACCCCAAGCCAAACATATAGTAAGTACATAATTATTTCTCAGGACAGACAACATATTATTTATTATACTGCAGAAAAGTGTTCAATGCAGAATGTGTTATCTCTAGAACACTGATTGGTAATATGCATACCTGGAAAATTAGTTATAAAGTAGGTACCTGTGGGGGGGGCGTGTATAGCTGTGAGCTGGGTGGCCTGGTTCACACCATTTATAAGACATTCAAAGAATAAATTATGGGGGCCTCGAGTAGGCAGACTCCTTTCTTTACCTGCCCTGTATTTGGCATGTGAAATTGGGCCCATGGATCAATAGATCATGTCCCAGCATATTACACTATAAGTGGTTGGTCAGCTAGGAGAGAGTTTAGAGTTTTAGATAATGCATACAACTTAATGCTCAGTAGGAAAAGTGGGTGGGAGGGAAGTCAGGTGATCAAATCCTTGGGGTCCAGGTGACTACCTAGTTTCATATGACAAGCAATAAATGTTGGTTTGGGTGAAAACCAGTCAAATGATCTGCTATCCTCCCACTCTTCACAACTAATTGGGTTATGTATAATTGCTATGGTTTCCACTTCAATCTTTATTTAGCAGTGTCCACAGAAGCACTTCAAGGTCAAGGAAAGCCAACATCGCCTCGAAGAGACATCAAGAAGGGAGAGAGCCCTGTTTCTAAGGAAGCAAATGGCTTGGATTGTGGACAGGAGAGTTTAGAAGCAAAATCCCTCAAAGGAGATAAGATGAAAGGTGATGCTTTAGTCTGAAACAGTGGCAAGATCCATCTCTCACTTTCTGTTCCACCCCCTTCCTACTCGATTGCTCACTTTGTTCAGTGTAGTTTTTTAGCAGATCGATGATACTTTGCTTATCTTTGAGAATTTTGAATGGATAAAATGCCCAGTTTATCCTGAGTGATTGGTTTTACTTAATTGTCTCTTTAGTGACTTGAGGCCACAAAGCAAGCACCTTTGTAAGAGCCAAATTTCCAATTTTGGGCTCACAGCCTGCCACATTTCTCTGCCATGCAGGCTCCTCACTTCTTGGATGGTGTGTCATGGGTCTGAAGAAGGGAACATAGAAGAAAGAAGAGGCAGTTGCAGCTGATTTCAGAGGCATTTTAGGGGATTTCATGAGGAAGGAGATAGATTTGGGGATAGGTGCTATGTATGTGAGACACAGAAATGAGAGAGAGATGGGGAAGGGGCTTTTAAGAAGAGTTACTGGACATCACAAATAGGATGTCCCTTTGTTATTTTTGAGAAACTCTGGTAAAGATTTAAAATGCCTTTCAAATAGTTTTGATTAGTATAATAGTGTTTCTTTGAATCAAACTGCATGCAGAGACTAGTTTCAAGGTGAGGATGAAACAATTATATTTTAGGAGGGCTCTTCTAACAGTGAGCATCTTTGTATGTATCTATGTTTGTGTACCTGTGCAGGCATACTGGTAGTGTAAAATCTTAGGGTGGCATTGCTGAGCCAAAGGATGATTTTATTTAACAATTAGAGAGACATTGCCATGGTTGTCCTTTGAAAATGATGGATCAATTTACCATCCCACCAAGAATGAATGAGAGCTCCCATTGCATACACTCCAGCACTGGGTGCTATCCATCATTTTGTACCTGTTTGTTAAGTAAAAATGGTATTTGCATTTCTTTAAGGATGATCACTAACCAGCTAAATGTCCATTGGTGGCAATGACTAAGTAAATAATGAAAAAACCCACATAATGTCATATTATACAACAGCTAAAATTGTTATCATGTGGACCTACATGTACTGATTGTGGAGAGATCCACAATACATTGTACAAAAAAAGACAAGTTAATGAACAATGAGTCATTACAATTCCTTTTCATAAAAGGAGAAAGAACTGTGTGTCTTGTTACACATGTACACACATGTGTGGAGCAGTTTTTCTTGGGTTTGAAAGGGGTGGGAGATTCAACATCTTAATTTTATTTAGTTTTACTTATTTTAATAAAATATTATTTAGCCCTGGCTGGTGTAGCTCAGTGGATTGAGCACAGGCCTGTGAACCAGACAATTGCGGTTCGATTCCCAGTCAGGGCACATGCCAGGGTTGCAGGCCAGTTCCCTGCAGGCCACTTCCCAGCAGGGGATGCACGAAAGGCAACCATACATTGATGTTTCTCTCCCTCTCTCCTTCCCTTCCCCTCTAAAGATAAATAAATAAAATCTTTAAAAAATATTATTTAATTCACAAAGTAATAGTCAGGGAGAAGTTTAAAATTTTATCCCATCCTAGTATGTTCATACAGAAACATCTTGAGATAAAACTATTTGATCAGGGAAAATTATATGCTTAATGCATGGTTGCATTTTATTTGCTAGTTATAGATTGGTATAGCTTGGGGTACAGAATTTTACTTTCTAGGTTTGACTAGACAAATGACTTTTACTTTTCATGACTCAGTTATTCCTTTTGTAAAATGGAGATAATACTTTCAATGTATCCATATAGTATGGTAAGGGATTGAAAGGACCAAATAACATATAATAGGTTTGTATAATAGATTCACTCACCTGGGAAGACATCCTTGTAAACGCAAGGTCTGAGGCACTTTGGAGGTCTTGACCATGATGTAGTATGAACAGATGAATCTCTGGTCCTTTTCAGCAGCTTTTGGACCTGCTCATATTGTTCAAACATTTGGGAAATGTTCAGGAACTGCCTCTGGTCATGCTGTCATATTTAGCATTTCACAGGGATGACATATTTTAAGGTAGTTTTGAATTGGGAAAATGTCCAAAGATCATTTGGAATAAAATTTTGTGATTTACTTTTTTTAAAAAACAGAGGTATGTTACTGTACATTTATAAGGCCTGTTTTGTGTGAATCATAAAAGAGGTATGAAGTTTCAAAAATGTGGAGCACTGGGATCACATATGTTCCCTCCAAAATATGCACATCTAGAGCTTAACACACATTTGCACACTAGCATATTTGTTAAAGATTTGTATTGAATATGTTGTAATTGCTGCTATCATAGAGGATTTTTGCCAACATGATGGGATATCCATCAGGCAACAAAGATCTCAGTTTGCCTAGGAGTTAGAATTAACTTAATTGTCATGCATAGTACTTAATGTTTTGATGATACACTGATTTGTTTTCTATTTTTTTTTTAAACCAGATGATGTAGAGAAAGTACCAAAACAAGAACTACTGGAAACTCCTGGAGACCTGACCTGTCACTTAAAGAAAAAGTCCTGGCAAATATCTATGTTGCCAGACAGGTTCCTCCTGACCATTAATGCCCTGCAGCAAGCCCATAATTCAGGGGAGTTTGCCTATCCCCAAAGGCCTCAGACCCAAGTCATTGATACCTGGGTACCTTCAATTTCACACCCAAGGAAGGTCCTTAGTTTCAAGGGAAAATCAGTCCAACATGAAGTTGATAGGTTGAGAGCCAGCCACCCTCCCATAGATGTGAAACAAATCAGTATTCCCCTTGAAATCCAGAAACTGCAGCCTAACCTGAAGAAGTCTTTGCACAGTTCCCAAGTCCAGTCTACCATACCCCAGCCAATGCTTATCCACACCAGGCTTGCTGGCAGCTTAAGGGGTGAAGACCGAGCAACCAGTTCAACTGACAGGACAGTGCATAGTGTTGGCCCCTTAACCAGCCTGCAGGTCATTAAGCCAAACCGCATGCTGCCTCCACCAGTAAGCACAACAACCCAGTCTGTCAAGAAAGAACGGCCTCATTTCTACACGGCCCTCAATCCGTTTAGAGTGAACACTGAATTCATGCTGTTGACTGTGAGGGAGGAGAAAAAGTATGAGGAAGCAAAGATGAAAGAATATCAGTCCAGAAAGCCCACTGGAGTGGTCAATCTAGAAAAAGCCAGCAAAGCTGCTTGGATCAGGAAGATCAAAGGCCTGCCTATAGATAATTACATGAAGCAAGGGAAAACAGCAGCCCCTGAACTTGGTCCAAATGTATTTATCTGAACCACCCATGGGAAATTACAATGTCTTGCAATAAAAAGGAAACTGACTGGATGTTGGTGTTTGGCTTCTTGTTTTGTTTTTGTTTTGTGTTTTTACTATTCCCTGGCAATTAACATGGGGACTCCTAATTATCTTCCTATAAACCAAAGAATTGATATTATCAAAGTAGGAAAACAGAGGGAGGCTAGGACAGATTAGCATTTGTATTCCCACTGAAAATCATTCACTGAGACTCTGGAAGCCCAACTTTATAGATGGGCGATGGGGAAGTGATCATTGAAGATTAAATACCACTTGTCACTATCAATTTTGTACTATCATTTTTCATTGATTTATTTTTAGAGAGAGGGGAAGGGAAGGAGAAAGATTGGGAGAGAAACATCAATGTGTGGTTGCCTCTCATGTGTCCCCTACTGGGGATTGGCCTACAACCCAGGCATGTGCCTTGACTGGTAATCGAACCAGTGACCTTTTTTTTGCTTCACAGGCCTGTGCTCAATCCACTGAGCTACACCAGCCAGGTGTACTATCATTTTTATAGCAAACGAACTGATAAGATTGTATCAGAATAACACATTGGAGTTCCTTGGTATTTTTCCATGGAAAATGAAGCTTAGTGAGTTCAGTTAAGAATCTAATAGCAGAGGTGAAAGCAGACACCCTTACCTTATTCCTGAACCTAGTGGGAAAGCTTTTAGTTTTTGCCTGTTGAGTGTGATGTTGCCTGTAGGTTTTTTTTTTTTGTATATGGCCTTTATTATGTTGAGGGAAGTAGGATTGAGGGTAGGAGGTTGGGGTGGATGGGTTGGGGGAAAGAAGTGGTAGGAAAATGGAGACAATTGTACTTGAACAACAATAAAAACTTTCTTGGAAAAAAAAGAATTATGTACATAAAAAAAGAATTTAGGTGACAAAATTATGCTTATATTTGCACACAGATTTCAGAATTTTCAACAAGTGTATCAATTTGCAAATATGTCCATCTGGCATATTAAACTCATAGCTCCTTTTTATTGAAGTCTCTTTTAAAAAAGAATCTAATAGAAGCCCTCTATGGCACTGAGCTATTCCACTGGGAACATTATGTGTTTTCCTGATTAGGGCTAACTCTAATGAAAGAAAATTAAGCAGATTTACCCTTTGTACAAAGAGAGGTCACTAATATCAAATGTGTTGAGGTTTCTACTTGTCAGGGTTCAGGCAGGTAATTTAGAAGAGGGCATCCCACCACAAGGGCATAGCCCATTGGGGACCTCAAGTCCCATACAAAGGGAATAGCTCCTACTCAGTGGCTCAGCAATGGCCACGAGATGCTGTAATAGACAATATATATTGGCTTCTGCCCCTGGCACCCGGCCCAGAACTCCCAACCCCCTTATAAATTCCTAAGTGGTAAGAGCAACAGGAGTAACTTTTGTTTTAATTAGGTGACTCTGGGCAGGTTCCTGGACAGGATGTGGTCACCAAGGAAGACCAAGTGATGATTAGAAGCTTGGCATTTTCAGCCCACCTTCCCATTCTTTGGAGAGGAAAGACTGGCTGGAAATGGAGTTCATGACTGAACATGTCTGCATGAGGAAGCTCCATAAAATCGTAACAGTAAGGGGTCTGGAGAGCTTCCAAGTTGGTGAACACATCCCCATCCTGGGAGGGTGACATACCCCAATTCCACAGGAGCTCAGGACTCTTTCAGACCTTACCCTGTGTACCTCTTCATCTACCTGTTCATCTGTGTCCTTTAGCATAGCCTTTAACAAACTGGTAAATGTAAGTAAATGTGTTCCTGAGTTCTGTGAGCTGCTCTTGCAAATTAATCTCACCTGGGGAAGGGTCCTTGAATCTCTGAACTACAGCTGGTTGGTCAGACGCAGGGGTGATAACACGGGCTTATGACGAATATCTGAATGTGTGTGGGGGGGGTGGGGGAAGAAAGTGAGAGAAAGGGAGAGACAGAGACAGTGACTGAGTCATGCAGGATTGAGCCCTTAATTTACTGTGTGATCTGATGCTATCTCCAGGTACAGAGTCAGAATTTAATGAAATTTAGTAAAGACACACAGGAGAGAAACACAACAGGGAAGAATTGTCTTTTTTTTTTCTTTACAGATGGTAATGAACTCAAATAGAATGCAAAACAAAAACAACAAAAATCCCAACTCGACAAAACCCCACAATCTATACTTTAGATGGACCCCAAAAACATGAAATGGGCAGTCTACATGTACAGGTAACCTATTCACAGCCTCCACTTTTCCTTTCCAAGTGCAGGAATACAACTGTTTGCCAAATTGAAAAAAAATATTAATTTTAAAGTAGCATTGGCAAATAGCAATGTAAAAATGGTGATATTAATAGAAAGAATCCTCTCATTTAAGGAATTGCGATAGTCCATATTATTCCAGGAGACTTCAACAGCAGTTTGACCCGTAAACCATACAGTTAGGATGCTGTTACAATCAGTGTTAAAGATGACTTACAGTCCCTGAATTTCAGGTCCTTCATATGGGCAAGATTGTTACTGAACCAAACTCGGAACCAGTTGGGCTCTTGTCTCTCTAAATAAAAAAAAAAAATTAACTCAAGGACACTGATAATGAAAATAGGATTTATTTCAGCTCTGCAGAGGGAGGAAACTCTGGGAACCAGAAAGTCATACCTGTGTGTGTGAGTGCTCAGGCTTTTTATTGGGGTCAGAGGATAGGAGGAGGCTCTTGCACTGGCGTGAGTTTCTATGGCTACAGGGTGCTAACCAATGTCATCTTCTCCCCACAGGTGCACCCTGGTCTTGTTTTTCTCCTTTTTTAAGCCCTGTGAATAAGCTCAATAAAATATAGGTGTTTCTCTTGTGATTTTCAGAACAGGACTGCTGAATTAATGGATAAGACACGTCTCTTTTTCCCTCCCTGCCTTGGTTTATCTATCTATCCTGCCTAACATTCCTCTCTTCCCTGGACACCTGTGGTATCTTGCAACTGCAAGAAGTATCAAAGGAAGTTCCCAGACCACTGTGATTTAAACTATGTATTCTCTGGTCAGGGAAGAGAGGTATAAATCATTAGCTCTCAAGTGTCCTTAAGGGAGATAAGGTCTTGCAATTTACCATGTGACTGTAAGTTGCTCAAACCGTTTGGCCTTGTCTTATTTTCTTGTCCGTTTCCCTGTTCCACTTGCCCAGGCATTTTCCTAGCTTCTCACTATTCTATCCTCTCACAAGATCACACCATCAGCAGCTAAACTTAAAAACAGTAGTAAGAATACCATCTTCAGTTTACTGTGTACTTACCTTGTAGGATACTATTATCAGACCCACTTTACAACCGAAGAAAGATGTACATGGAAGTTAGATAATTGGTGAAAGTCGGGGTGAGAGGACAGGGAGGAGGGTTGGGCGGGCTCAAACCTAGAAGCTCAACTCCTGTGCTAGTTCTCTTTATCATTGTTTCCGGGTTCCCCGGGTTCTCCATTTTCCTCCTATAATATAATCCTTCATTGTTTACTCAGTCCTCCTGCTCTGTACCTCTTCATAACTTTTTACCCCTTTTCCGAGCACATTAATATTTTTCAATTGCTTCTAAAATATAAGGTACAAATAGGACACTGCACAGGAAAACATGTCCAGTAAAACGTTCAAACAAAATGCAACTATGGAGTAATAAAGCCATCCACCCCGCCTTCAGGGATATCACTGCTGGTGGGAATGACAGCTCTTAGGGAGCAATAACAACTCCATGCGACAACCACGAAGCTTTCACTCTTAAACCAACCCTCCCCAACTAGTTTTCCCTCGGTCTTCCGTCAGTACTCGCCCGGGACCGCACAGCTCGCCCGGATCTCTGGTTGCCCCGCCCACTTTCTCGCTGCACGTCATTCCGCACTTAGCGACCTGTAGAGCAGAACCTACCTCAGGCTCTGCCGACCAAGAGGTCTAGGCATCCTGGAGTCGCCCCGCCCACACTCGGGGACATCCCCCGACCGGGGCGGCCCACAAGGTCGCCAAGTCACGTACCTTGCTCCTCCCTCCAGGCTCCCAGAAGCGGAAGTGGGGAGGGGCTGGGGCGTACTTTGGCTCCGCTGGGCCTGACGTGGCGCCCGGAAGTGGGACTGGAGCGGGGCCGCGATGTTGCCGCAGGTGAGTGGCCTTGGCGCGTCGTGAGGGCCGTGGTACCTGGGGGCTCGCTGTGGAAAGTGGTGGGGCGCGATTGGAGCATCCTGGGGACGTGGAGCATCCTGGGGACGTTGTGTCGGCGTCCTGGCTTGCAGCGGGAGTCGGAAGAGGAACGGGGTAGGCGGAGAGCCCAGGGCCGTTGTTCCTGGGACGGGGCTGGGCGCCCGGAAGCCTCTGGTGGACAGTAATCCAGGTTGTGCTGAGGGATAACAGATCCCGGTGTGGAAAAGCGCGTGGTCAACCTGCGCGGAACGCTGGTGCCCGCCCGCAGAGACTGCTGTCCGGGGACGGGCAACTGTGGGGTGGCAGCCTGATCTTTCCGGGTGCGTTGCGATCCTGTAGTAATGGGAGACTCCGCCCGGGCCTTGCTTTCAAGTTTACGTTGCCAAACTGATCTTGAATTGATGGCGGTTAATAGATTTAATTACAGTCCACAACTTGACAACCAGAGACTAGTATGAATAATTAAATACTCTCTTCCTATTTAAACAAATATTGTAAAGTGCACTTTCACTTAGATTATCACTGGTGTTTTTTCCCTTGGTGGAGGGATTGCTGTGGCCCAGGCACTACTGTTACTGAGGTCCCCTGTTAGAGACACAGTAGCCACTTTTCCATTTTCCTCTTGTGGCCTCTGCTTTCTTGGTCTCACCACCTTCCCTGACTCCGACCCTCCTGTGTTTCTGTTATCGGGACCATTCTAATTATATCACTGGGGCCACCTGGATCCATCTCAATATCCTTAATTTAATCACTTCTGCGAAATTTGTTCTGCCAAGCAATATACATATTCACAAGATCCAAGGATTGCAACTCGGGCTTCTTTGGTGGAGTGAGAAGATGTGTGATTGGGCCTACCACAGCTAATGCAGTGGGTGGCCTGAGAAAGGTCATAGAGGTGGGTAGGGGCCGGATCTGGACATGTATGGACAGGAGTCTGTTTTTCAGCCAAAGTACTGTAGGTTTTAAACAGGGGAATGGCATGCTTATTCTGAAAAGGTCACCTTGGCTGCAGGATGGAGATGGCACTCTTTCAGTCAAGAGCAGTGTACAGTAGATCTCAATCTTGGCTGCACATTATCATCATCTAGAGAGCTCTGAAAAATTCTGATGCCCAGACCATCCATCTGAACTTCGGGGTGAGACTCAGGTATCAGTTTTTTAAATTTTTTATTTTTAATGTACCCTGTGTAATTACAGCCTGTAGCCAAGGTTGAGAACCACTAATTTCATAGATCTAAATTCATTTTATTACCTTTCTAGCTTTAGTTCCTACCTTACTTTGTCCACTGTTCACTTTGTGGGCTCCTCGGTCTTTCCCTGTACATATGTGTATGTTCTCATTTCTGTACCTTTGAAAGTACCTAGTCAAGAGACTAGAATGAAGCCCTGGCTGGTGTAGCTCAGTGGATTGAGCACGGGCCTGCGAACCAGACAATCGCGGTTCGATTCCCAGTCAGGGCACATGCCTGGGTTGCAGACCAGTTCCCTGCAGGCCAGTTCCCAGCAGGGGACATACGAAAGGCAACCATACATTGATGTTTCTCTCCCTCTCTCCTTCCGAAGATAAATAAATAAAATAAAATAAAAAAAAGAGACTAGAATGAGCAGGAGACTTACTTGTTCTTTCAAGGCCCAGCTGTTAAACTGTCCTGCAGGAAGCTTCTCCAGAGCCTCTTTCCTGTCCTCCCATTTGCACTAATGTTTCTCCTGGCACTGTTCCCAGTCTGCTACATAGCATAGTACAGGGGAACACCTCCTCTGTGTTCCTCATGCTTCAACAAATAGACTGCACTGCCTGGACTGGCACTCTGCACTGGCACTCTGCTAGACACGAGGGCTCCTCCCATAGTGTCTGGATGGAGGTAGGAGTAGGCTTGCAGGAAGGATGTCCAAATGGCAATTTGTTCAAGTGCTATGGGAACATGAGAAATGGTATGCCTGGGGATTTCAGGGAAACTTTCTCTGCTAATTCAGTATTTGAGTTGAAATTTAAAAGATGATTTGGTGTTTGTGTAGGGCTGTTTGATGAGCTGTGTAGGGGGTGGGGAAGGGAAGAGATTTCTGGGTAGAGAAAAGATGAAAGGTAGGAGGAGGGGTGCACATCAAGTTTTCAGAACATGCAGTAACTGTTGCTGTACTGTCCATCGGGAGGGAGTGTCAGGGAGATCACATCAGGAGATCTGTGCTGTGTGTGAAGGAGTTAAGTTTTATCCTGTACATGTAGGTACACCATAGAAGAATTGGGGCAGGGAGTGATGTGGTGTTATTTCCATGTTGGGAGGTTTACTCAGTGGATAATGAGAGGCTGGAGTAGAGCTGAGCATGTGACTAGAAATGGAAGCAGGGAGGCTGGTGACTGGCTGGCACCAGTGAAGGTATAATAAACAGCAAATATCTCGTGGTTGAGGCTGAAAGTCAGTTGCATTGAGTTGAAATGTGAGCCATTCTTACGAGCCTAAAGTTGTGAAAGGAAGGAACACTATAGGAAGGAAAATAGAAGATAGTCCTGGCTGGTGTGGCTCAGTGGATTGAGTGCCAGCCTGTGAACCAAAGAGTTGTTGGTTCCATTCCCAGCCAGGGCACATGCCTGGGTTGTGGACCAGGTCCCCAGTAGGGGGCACTCTAGAGGCAACCACACATTGATGTTTCTCTCCCTCTCTTCCTCCCCCCGCCCCCATCTAAAAACAAATAAATAAAATCTTTATTAAAAAAATAGAAGATAGAAGGAGAGATTCAAGGTTAGGGTTTCTTAAAATCTTTTTCATGCTATAAAGCAGCAGGCCCCAACCTTCAGGGACTGGTTTCAGGGAAGGGGGTAGGCAGGATTTGCTCTGCTTGTGGCCCTGTTCCTAACAGACTGTTACTTGTCTGAAGCCTGGTGGTTGGGGACCCCTGGTACAAGGACTCCTGAAGAAGTTTATATGCTAATTAGATCCAGTGAAAACCTTTGAAGATGTAAGAAAGTGTAAATAAAATTTATGGAACAAGCCCCCAAGGATGCAGAAAAAGAAGTGATTCTGAGCACAAATAGATGATTTTGCCTTTGGAGAAAAAGAGAAAAGAGTTGTGAGAATGGGTCAGGGAAAGAAGAAAGCAGTCAGCTGATTCTCTGAAATAGCCAAAAAATACTGAGTTTATCCCTTATAGCCTCAGTGGTCTCTAACTTTGGAGGAGCATCCTCTACACACTGGTGGTTTTCTCATAGGACTCAACAGCTTGGGTAGGGATGGAGAGAGCAGATACTTGGATTACCACGTGGAGGTTTTGCCAAATGATTTGGATGGGGGTTAAGGAATTACACATGCCCTTTTCCTAGGTTGTGAATTCCAGGTGGCTTTGACCATGTCTTAATCTTATTCTCCGTTCTGACTAGTGTGCTGCCTTGCATGCAGTCAGCATGTGCATACTGAATTCATTTTGCTTCATGGCTATTTCATTTTCTTATTAGGATAGTAATGATGACACTGAAGATGTTGCACTGTTTGATGCAGAAGAGGAAGCAGCTGCTAGACCCAGAAAATCCAAAATCAGGTATGAAGATAATTTCTAAGAGTGGTGTTTATGTCCAGTGCCGTTATGCCTGTAGACTGGTGCCAGCTGCTGGGATTCAAGGAATTGTGATGTACTTGTGAATGTTGTATATCACTAGTGTGACATTAGATCTAAGACAAAAAATGGCATTTCAGATTTTCTTTGGGAATGACTGGCATTTAGAATTTTACTCAACTCTGAGTTTTCAAATCTGTAAATCCAATTAAGTAAACACTAGTGTGTTCATTCTAGCTACTGTGCACTAAGAATGCACCATTTCTTTAGATGGTTTCCGTAGATGCATTATGACATTTTCATTTATTGAGCAGATTTTAAAATTGCATCTTTTGTATAAACTGACATGAACATATCAAGGCAAACATTTCTATTTCAAATTTAGTTCTCTCTAAAGAAATTCACTTACTGAAATCAAGTTCTACCTAAACCTTGAAAACGAGAGATGCCAGTCACAAAAGACCACAAACTGTACAATTTCATTTATCTGAAATGTCCAGAATAGGCAAATCTATAGAGACAAAAGGCACATTTATGGTTGCCTAGGGATGGAGAAGGGATGGGGTAGGGATAAATGGGGAGGGACTGCCAGTGGGTACAGGTTCCCTTGGGGTCATGAAAGAGTTCTGAAGTAGATTGTGGTGATGGTTGTACAATTTGTGAATACATAAAACACTATTGAATCATATACCTTAAATAGGTGAATTGTACGGTATATGCATTATACCTCAGTAGAGCTGTTTAAAAAACAACTCTTCCTGATGGTTACTTTGTCTTAAGGCCTGAAGTGGTTTCTGAGGACCTAGAAATTCTTTTGTCATGATTTTTGGATATATGAAGATAAGATTCAATCCTGAGGGTATGGTTACCGTATTTCTCCAAGTTTGGTTAAGTTTCTTCTTATGTATTTTGTGAAAGTTTATAGTCAATGAGATGTTAACATAGTGTATTGACTGTGACAATAGGGCTTGGTCAAATAATGGGACTTACTAAAAAAAAGAAGTATGTGGTTTGCTTCTTCCTTAAGACATCTCTTTTATTTTGACCAAACTGCATGGTTATGCTATGGCTGAAGCATTTTTCATCTATATCTGCAGTATCTAAGTGTAATTGCATTTCTTTTTTTATGTTTTGGTTTTCAGACATCCAGTGGCATCATTTTTCCATTTATTCTTTCGAGTCAGTGCAATTGTAGTCTATCTTCTCTGTGAATTGTTAAGCAGCAGCTTTATTGCCTGTATGGTGACAATTATCTTGTTGTTGTCATGTGACTTTTGGGCAGTTAAGGTAGGTTTGATTATTTTTATTCGAAACCATTTAATATGATGAGATTGAATGGCATATAAAGAGTAAAAAAAAACCCAAAACCCTGAAACTTAGCATTTTGGATTTGCATTAAATTATCTTCTTGTTAAAGTGCCAGGTATATCAGATCACATGTAGGTTATTCTACTCACTTGTGTGCACCTTATGTCAGCCTACATCGGCTTTAAAGTTAAACAAATAAATATGACCGCAGCTGCAGACCCTATATATGGTGTCTAATGCAGTTCTCTGGTTTTGCTTCAGGGTCACCTCCAGCTGTGCCATGTATGATTTCTAAAAAGACTCCTGGATGATTTGTTCACTAATACTTCAGGAGTACCCATCATTTGTGAAGGCTGTAGGGCAGTATTTCTTAACCGGGGCCAGTTTTGCACCCTGGACACATGTCAATGTTTGAAGATATTTTTGGTTATTACAGCTGAGGTGGGGGAAGTGTGCTATTTGAAACATCTAGTGGCTAGAGGTCAGGAGTGCTTCTAAACATCTTAAGATGCACAGATTGGACCGCTCCCCACAACAAATAATTTTGTAGCCCACAATGTCAGCAGTGCTGAAGTTGAGAAACCCTGTTGTAGAGGATAGAGAGTGTGAGAAGTAGTTTCAAACTCAAAGGCAACGAGTAGAGGGATGGATGGGTACATGGATGGGTGGATATGTGATGTAACTTTTAAAAGATTAACTGTGGATCCTCTGTGTTCATTGTAAAACTAGACTTGTCTGTGTGTTTGGAAATTTTCATAGCAGAATGGTAGGGGAAAAATGGAAGAAAAGAAAAAGCAAGAGCTAATTTTTGAATTTTCAGAGGCAAGTATATTGATTCAAAGACCAGTAAGATGTTACAAGTATGTTCACATCCACCAACCCAGCCAATCTTTTGATTCTTACAGATATCAGAATTGATTGGCTTGCTGGCAGCTGGTTTCCATAGGGCATAAAATGCTGAGAATGAAAATTACAGAAGTCTGTTTTCTTTAGGCTTTTCTTTTGTACAGTCTTCTTTGACTTGTTTTTCTTTGAATTTCTTCTGTTGCTCTACTCTCTAAAGTGTTTACTGTATCCTGGTCACAATTTTGTCTTTGAGGAATGTTCTTTTTTGTTGTTCATCTAATTTTTGTTTAGCCACATAGAACATGGTCTTTATTCAGTTCTTCCTGGTAATTTCCAAGTTCTTAAAATTCAATACTTCTGGGTTTAGGGTTTTAAAAGATGTGGCCCAAAAGTATATTTTCTGATAAGCTGTTTTTTTTTTTTTAATGAGGTCTTTAAAAATGTCACCCTTTTATCTGTGGCAAAATTACTTACAGGTATCCAAACCCATGCTATGTGGAACACAATTAAAAAATCAAGGTGGGGAAATCCTTAAATGAACTTGGGGAGGTGGTAGGCAGGGTTCCAAACCTAGTTAGAACATAGATGTGTCACAATTACTATAAATTTCAATACAGTTGTCAAAAGAAGAAATAGAATCATTAAAAAATAAAAGATAAATATAAAGATAAAATTATTTTAAAAAAATTTTTTTAATTTAAATGTTAATGCCCATATGTTGCTATTGTTTTATTCCTTACTCTGATGGAGTAAAACATATTAAATAATGGTTTTAAAATTTTAATGATAGCTATTAGTAAAACTTAAAATAAGTTATGTATTTTATCGGAGAAGATAAGAGTGACTAAAAGATGCTTTATAAAGCAAGAGAATGAAAGAACGCACATGTCAAAGGAGCTTAAGTATCACAAGGTGTAGTACAAGGTGATTGATGGAAGTGGTAGCAAATTAGTTACAACAGTAGATGTAATTTGATTAAACTCTCTTCTTAAAGATAAGAATTTTAAGATTGGGTCAAAAATCAAGTCCAACCAAAAAGTTCTAACTACAATCATAACATTATAAAAAGTATAAAAGGCAAAGATAACAACAGATCAATTCAAACAAAAAGAAACTTGGCATTAGAATACTACCATTAAACAAAGTAGAAATGGGAGTAAGACAGCATTCAATGGAACAAAAAAGGTTATTTTGTGAATCACAGTGAGGCTCATTCCCAGAATCACATTATGTCAAACTATGTGTAGTTAAAAACTTAGAGACACTAGAAGAAGATGGAGGGAACATTGTGGTAGGGGTCTAATAAGCCACTGTCTCTGATCGATCAAAGCAACAAAAAACCAAATAAGGTCTAAAGGATCTGAAAGAAATAACAAGGCCTATTTAATAGCAATATTTGAAACTTTTTATATACAAGGATAATTTAATGGCAAGAGTTCAGTCCCTATGCAACATTTGTACAAATTAATTGTCACTATAAAGAAAATTGAAATATATTGCTCAAAGCAGCTACATTTTCTAGCCCAGTGCAACAAAACTAGAAATTCATTAAAAATGGTAGTGAAAACTGGAATTTTAAAAAGAGCCAACTTGCTAAATATCTTGGCCTTAAAACAAAAAGTATAAATAATAGATTATACCTAAAGACATTTTAAAACTATAAATAATAGATTTTTTAACCTAATGACAATGATCATCTACACATAAACTTGGGGAATGAGTAAGAAGCCGAATTCAGAGGAAAAAAATAGATTAAAGGCTTTTATTATTAGAGGTCCAGAATTTTTTAAATTAAACTTTGTTTTTAATTCTCACTTGAGGATGTATTTATTGATTTTAGAGAGGAAGGGGGAATGAGAGAGACATTGATTGGTTGCTTCCTATACAAACCCTGATGGAGTATTGAACCCACAACCTAGGCATGTGCCCTGACCAGAGATTGAACCTGAAACTTTTGGTGTATGGGAGGACTCTCCAGCCAACTAAGTCAAGCAGTCAGGGCAGGTCCAGAAATTTTAAAAACAAAAGCAATCAGCTTGAGAGAAATTAGGAAAATTAATATTTATAAAAGTAGAAAGTAAAGAATTGGAAAATGGGAAAGTGGAAGAAGAACTATTCTGTATTCTAGAGCTGGTATTTGAAAATGCCAATAAAATAGACCTCTGGCTGGTCTTGGTCTTTACCAGCTCTTCTCTTTTACTTAACCTGTAAATGTTAGCACTTCTGCCAAATGAATTACAGTCTTTAAGGTTCCTCCTTTTCTCCTCTATTCTTTTCCTAAACACTATCATCTATGCTTCTGATTTCAGATGCTTATCTGTAGGCCAGGTTGACTCCCAGATCTGTATCTCCAGCCCAGGTTTGTCTTTGTTGCTCCAGACCTCTCCATCGGTCTTTTTGACATACTTATTTGGCTGTCTTAGAGGCACTTCAACATGTGTGAAATATCCTTCTTGTCTTCCAGCCCCCAAAATGCTGCTTTTCCACTAGGGTTCCCTTCCACAGGTCCTTGAATCACCTTTTTTTTTTTAACATGAGTAAACCAAAAATATATGATTTGCCTTCTTCATACCCCATATCAAGGTAATCACCAAGTCCCGTGAACCCATAGATTTTACTTTCTTCCTTAGGGCTTCCATGCCTGCTTGTCTACCTGATGGATTGTTCTCATTTACACATTACCTCAACCCAGTGATGCCTGATCTGTTTCTGTGCCATGGATTCCTTTCATAGTCTTATGAAGCTATGAATGGTGTTTTTAAATACAGAAAACACATTAAGATTAAATATCACTACAGAAATCAAAGGAACTCACATTGAGATATAATGAAAACATTAAAAAGGCACAGTTTCTAATTTAATGATATGTACTTTATTTATGTACTAAATAGTAAGACCTGGTATCAGGCCTAATTACTTTGAAAGCAGTGATGAACATAAATAATATTTCGTGATATCTGCAACAAGTGTAGTATAATATCTGAAAGATATTTGTGGTTTTTATTGTGGTAATACCTCAGGTTAATTCTATCATGGTTAATTGTCTACATTCATAATTGAAAGATAAACTATATTTTAGCCAGCAGTTAGTAAAAATAAAGGTATAATTTTTCTCCATCCAAGTTCACAGAACCCCTGAACTCTCTTAGTGGACACCATTGATTAAAAATGTCTTGCATTAGTCCTGGCTGGTGTAACTCAGTGGATTGAGCGCAGGCCTGTGAAGCAAAGGATCGTGGTTTGATTCCCAGTGAAGGCACATGCCTGGGTTGCAGGCCAGTTCCCAGTGGGGACGCAGGAGAGGCAACCATACATTGATATTTCTCTCCCTCTCTTTTTCCCTTCCCTTCTAAAGATAAATAAATAAAATGTAAAAAATAAAAATAAAAAAATAAAAATTTCTTGCATTATTGATTCCTACTTATCCTTTAAATCTCATTCCCAGTGTTGATTCCTCAGGGACAGTGTCTAGGTCATTCATCCCTGTTAGACTTGCAAAGCCCACTCTTCTCCCTCGTAGTACTTAGCATGTTCAGTAATGGAACATACACACATTGGTTGACTGTCTTTCTTACCCACAATACTTAAATCTCCACAAGGATAGGAGATGTTACCATGTTATTACATGCTTAATAAATATTTGTTGAGTAAATAAGCATTAGGGAAGCTATCAGAGTAATTTGTTATGTTAATAAGGAAAAGAACTTGTTACCTTTGAGGTGCTGAGTGAAGGCCAGTACCTGTAACCACTGTCTTCCTCAGTCCAAAGCTCTCTCTTGATTCCTATAAGGGCACTAATCCTATTCATGAGGGCTCCATCCTCATGAACCCATCTAATTCTAATCACCCCCTAATACCACATATTGGGGGGTAGAGTTTCAGTGTACAGAATTGGGGGGATATAAACATTCAGCCCATAACCACCATTTTTAGAGATATACAGTTACAAAATACCTGTAGCTACAGTCAGGATATATAGGAAAAATAGGTCAGAGTGGCTAATGAGCAAGGGGTTTAAGAACACATTAGGGAATGGGAGAAAGGGTAGGAGCTCAGAAGGGGAAGTGGAGGGTAATGTTGATGAAGGTATTTATGCTGTCACCCCCATCCTGCTGGTCCTGCCATTGCCATTTTGTTTCATCTTTTGTCCAGGCCTGGTGTATCATGGTATAAAACTGAATATTATAGAGGTAAAGCAGGCACTATTTTGTTTACGAAAGGTGACACTGAGGTATGACCTTATGGTACATCTTTAAATAATGTTTTTAAAGTATGTGTATATTAATCTTTACCAGAATGTCACAGGTCGACTAATGGTTGGCCTGCGTTGGTGGAATCATATTGATGAAGATGGAAAAAGTCACTGGGTGTTTGAGTCCAGGAAGGTAGGCACCTCCCGCCTCCTGCTTTGAGTGCCATTCAGTAAATTAGTTGTAGATTACATTTGAATATTTATGGGTTAAGTATTTAAGATTAAAAGCACTATCCCAAACATTTGACATGTCCACACTAAACCAGATGGCCCTCTAAATCTAATTATATTTTTCTGACCAGGTCAGACCAGAAATAGTGTGTGTCTAGGAAGAATCCTCCAAGGGTGGACTTATACTGTATGCTGAGCTTCCTGTTCAGGGTTGCTTTCTGATGCCCTCAGCTTTATGTTACGTGACTTGGAATAACTGCTTCTCATAGCTTGCTCTGTCCTTGCTCCATGGTCCTTTTCCATTGTCGGCAGGAAACAGAAATGGAAGGACTGCAGCTGGATAGAAAATCTGAAGTGATTGGAGCAGTCTGTTCTTTAAGTTGGACCTTCAGGGACTCTAGGGAGGCTCTGGTCTGTTTTGGATTGGCCCGCTTATCGATACTGAACTTTGTTTCCCTGTGGAAATCAGTGTGGGTGGCAGAGGACAAAGTTCTTGGAGGTAATAACAGGGAAATTACTTGCCTCCTAATTGGAAGCACCTTGACAGGCATTTCTCACAAAGCAGCAGTATGCTCAGTGAACCCATGGTCCTTTGTACTGTAAAATCTGCCTAATATACAACTCACCACTCTTTTAAATGTTGGGTTTTGCTAAGATACTGTGGTCATTGTCCAGAATGGCTTAATTCCACTTTTTTTTCTGGACCCTGACTTGACTTTTTTGGAGGACTGTAGCCTTGATTTTCTTGACTTTCCCCCCCAGAAAGTATCATTTAAAGCTTCCCTATGAATGAACAATATAAACACAAGAAGGGTAGAATAGAAGCATATCAGACCACTTTAAACTGTCTGCTCTGCCCTGAAACTACAAATTCTTGATCTAAAACAAAGTATATTACAATGAGTTCCTAAAATTATTGTAGTGGTGGATCTACTAACTTTTTTCGAGGGGAGAGGGGAGTTTTGGACTTAGGACTTGGGGTGTCTGTGTTAATTTATTTGAGTTTGAGGGTAAGATGTTTTTCATCAAAGTGTAAAACTTCATACTGATATCACAAAACACTGGTTATTAAATTTACGTTCTTTTATAGGCATCCTCTCAAGAGAATAAAACTGTTTCAGAGGCTGAATCAAGAATCTTCTGGTTAGGGCTTGTTGCCTGCCCCATGCTTTGGGTGATATTTGCCTTCAGTGCTCTCTTCTCCTTCAAAGTGAAGTGGTTGGTGAGTATCAGGGCAGAACTAGGGAATGATCCATTAAGATGCCCGAGGGTTAATCATAGTAAGCAGCTGTCTAGGCCAACTTTAGGGACCTGTGTTGAATAGGCAACTTGATCATGTATTTCCCAAGTTTGATTTCCCAGTCTGCTTTTAAGTATTGTTGAGCAGAGCTGTGTTAAAGACCTTGCTTCACCAGTTTTCCAGGTGCTAGCATAATTTTAATTGAACCCACCTTGTAGAGAGATGACTGTATTTATCACATAATCTTGTTGGATGAGATGTTCATTAAACTCCAAACAAACATGTTTAGCTTAATTTGGAACTAACAGAGTGGTCTTTTTGAAAATATTGCTTGGTAACCTGTTCTGGCTATTATATAGTAAATCTTGTGAAAACTTAGTGGCTTAAAACATCAACAGTCATTTTATGGTCTCTCACAGTTTCTCTGATTCTTGAGCCTGGATGGTCATCTTCTCCCTGGATCCTCACGTGGTCTTCCCTCTGTACATGTGTCTGTGTCCTCTTTTCTTCTATTTATAAGGACATCAGGCATATGGATTAGGGCCCACTCTGGTGGCCTCATCTTATTTTAATTACCTCTTTAAAGACCCATCTTTAAATATAATCACATTTGAAAATACTGGAGTTAGTACTTAACATATGAACTTTCAGGAGCCACAATTCAACCCATAACAACAACCTGGCCTCAGAAGTAGGCACAGCAGCACTTTGCCACCTATTCATATTCAAGGGGATGGGAATTAGCCTCTGCACCTTGACTGGTGGGAGGTGGCGGTGTTAAAGAGCTTCCAGAAGAGTATGTGGACCAGGAGATACTGTTGCTACCATCTTTGGAAAATGTAATTTGTTACTTGCTCCAGACTATGAGTCTTGTTCTTTTAATAGTTAAGTTTGTCTCACTTAACTGTTGATAGCAGATATATTTTGGTCTTACTGGTGTTTTTTTTTCTTATTTTCTTGTCTCTGTTTTGCTATATAGGTTCTCTTTTTGTTGTATGTACATATACATAAATCTTTTTTGCAATTTGGAAGGTTTATTGTCTACTTTCAGTTTTTCTAATATTGATCTTAATTACATGTTTGTATTACACAGTCTTTCACAAATTAGAAAGTGTGCTTCATATCTGACTTCAGGCTGTGGTATGGAGATGGTCAGGTTAACACTCATGGTTTCTCCCACCTTTTCTCCCTGCTTCCACCTCTGTATTTTTGTTGATTGTACAGTTAGCCCTTGAACAACATGGGAGTTAGGGGTGCTGACCCCTCATGCAGTCAAAAATCTGCGTAAAACTTTTGACTTTCCTAAAGCTTGACCGTGTTGTGTTTTCTTATTTTAGTTTTTTTAAACAATACACTTAAACCTGCTTATTGACTTAACAGACTGTTTAGAAAGGAAGTGAAATAGTCTTAGGCTCTCTCTTTATTTTATCCCTTTCTATTGTTTGAGTTTGTTTGTTCTGGTATTATTCTTGCTGTCAAGATTTGTAACAATTGCCTTTTGAACTATATTTTGGACTGTTTGTTCAGTCTTTGATTGTACTATTTTAAAATACCTTGATTAAATCTTTTTATTGGAGCTTTTTTCCTTTTACCTCCTGGATGGTTAGCTACATTTCATTGCTGGGTGATGTTTTTCAAAAAACTTATAAGTGTTATTTTCCTTTGGCTTTGTCATGTTTAAGAATATGAGCCTATTGACTTTATGTTTGAATGACAACGTGGCTAGGTGAATATTCTTGGGTCACAGCTTCTTTCGTCATTTAGAAGACATTATTTCATTATTTTTTTTATATCAAATTTTAAGGGAAATCTGAGGCCAGGCTTACTTAACTGCCATGTAAGTGAGTAAATCATTTTTCTCCCTGGACAAAGAATCGTTTTTATTATTCTTAAAGTTTTAAAATATCATAACCAGAATGCCTTTGTGTTTATCTTTCTAGATTGATTTTTCTGGAAACTGTGTGGTCCTCTAATGTGCAGGTGCAGATTTTACTTCGAATCAGGAAGATTGTCTTCTGTTAAGTCTTTACATTTATTAATGTTCTGTTTTTTGGTTTCTCCGATTCCGAGGCGCTGGTTATCTCTGTTCAGTCATTTTTGTCTGTTCTCATCTGCCATCTTTAATTGCTTTGAGCTCTCAGTTTTCTTGTCTTCATTCACTCAGCAAATATTTTTGCAAGTCTTGTATATGCCAGATGTGTTCGTGGGACTGGAGATATTGTCAGCAGATGGATAAACAAGGTAACTGCTCTGGTATGCCTTATATTTTCTGGCAGGTAAGAATGGAGCGTGCAAGGGAGAGAGTAATGGGCTACTTTGGGTCAGCAAAGGCTTCTTTCTGTATGTCCTTAGCTCTGTAAACTTTATTATCCTCTCCTCTTGTTGTGTTACCTTACCTTCATTCTCTCTGAGTTCTTACCTTCAGGTCGTGCATAGGGCGAAGTATTCTCAGGAGTGCTTTTTATTTCGATGGACTGTGTTTCTTTCAGAATAGATTCTTAACCTATCTCTTGCACACTGTGTTCTTTATTTTCACTTAGTTGCTATAGTATTACAGAGATACCTTTCCCTTTGTCCCTCTCTGTTTTGCTCCTGCTTGCAGGCAGCTCTCCCTGAACCTTCTCTTTATGCTGGTTTAGTGTGGGTAATTTCCCCTGACTGCCATCCCCTGTATCGGAGATATCTGGGCTCCGTTGTGAGCTGGACTTCAGGGGCCTGAGGCACAGGCATGAGGAAGAGAACAGAGCCAGACCTCTGGCTGCCTTGGCTGACTTGCTTGGGTTTTGCCTCTATTTATGAAGTGGAGTTCTTGTTCCTGGTTGGGTGTGTGTTCTGTTCTGGGTCTCTTCTGCTTTAGACCCTGTATGAGGCCCTGGAGCCTTAGCATCCATCTGGGACAGGCAGCCCAGTCTTTCTTTCATTTTTTCCTCCTTTATTTTTACTGTTGACTCTCTTGCTGATGTTCCCGTTTTCCTCCCCTTTGCCCTTTTTCTCCCAGCCCCAGCTCCCCTTTCCCTTTGGCCATCACCACACTGTCGTCTTTCTCCATGGGTCATTCATATATGTTTTTTTCTCTAGTCCCTTCACCTTCTTTCATCCAGTCTTCCTCTCTCCCCTCCCTTCTGACAGCTGTTAGTCTGTTCCATGTAATCATACCTCTGTTTCTGTTTCATTTGTCATTTAATTTTGTTCATTAGATTCCACATATAAGTGAAATCATATGGTATTTGTCTTTCTCTGACTGGCTTATTACACTTCCCAGTGAACACACTCCACAGCATAACACTCTCCCAGTCCATCCATGCTGTGGCAAAAAATAAAGATTTCTTTTTATGGCTGTGTAGTATTCCACTGTTTAAATGCACCACAGCTTTTTTATCTACTCATCTACTGATGGGCACTTGGGCTTTTTCCAGATTTTGGTTATTGTAAATAATGCTGCTATGAACAAAGTATATATTTTTTCGAATTGGTATCTCTTCAATAAATGGTATTGGAAAAATTGGACAAATATATGCAGAAAAATGAAACTAGACCACCAACTTATACCACACACAAAAATAAACAAAATGGATATGAGACCTAAGTGTAAGTCACCAAGCTATAAAGATCCTACAAGAAAACATAGGTAGTAAATCGCAGATGTTTGTGGGAGCATTATTTTTGCCAATATATCTCCCAGGGCAATGAAAATAAAGGGAAAAATGAACAGATGGGGCTACCTCAGACTAAAAAGCCCAGTCTTTCTTTAGCAGTGTTTCACTTCCCTAAACCTGAGCCAGCGAAGGTGATGAAAGGAAGAGTCTGGGCTCATGTTAAGACCTTGGGGTGGGAAGGTGGCCTCACCCAGGTTCTTCACCAGTCTCTCCCACTTTCTGTTCTCTTAGGTCTTCTACTTGATGACTGATGGTCCTTCTGTATTTCCTCTCCTCCTCCTCCTCCTCTCCCCTATCCCCCAAACAAGGGGGCATCAAATGTCAAGCTGCTGGGGTCTTCCTGCCTCAGTTGGGTTGGAAGGGGCTGCTGCTTTCATATCTGTTTCTGCATTTTCTTCTTAGGGTTATCTGTATCCTCTGGCCTTTTGCCTCTTAAGTTGTTAGGGGTGGTGATTGCTAGTATAAATTTTTCTTCAAGCTTCTGTGGACAGTAGTTAGGAGCTATATAGAGTGACACCAAGCTGGCTCTTTCTCTGACAGCCAGCCCTTTTTTATATTTATTGGTACCAGCTTTTTTTGCCTTTAAAAAAGTTTGTTTGCTATTTATATCTTAGGGGCAGGGAGATCTTGGTATCTGGCTTTACTATGCCATTGTAAACCAGAAGTTTGCTTGTTTTAACTTATAAATACATTTTCAGGTCCGTTGCCATTGGATAACATCGATGCCTCAGTGGTGCTCATGGTCAGTCTGTGCACTTAAGGGTCCTGGCATGTTGGTGACACTTACCATGAGTGTCCCAATTTGAGAACCATGGGAAGTGGAAGGAAATATATTTCCATAAAAACATAGTTTTAAGTTTATTTAGGTAACTAGCAACCTTATATAATTCTAATGTGTTTATTTCTGTGAAACATACATTTAAAACAGAAAGGACAACTACATACTTTCTCTACTAAAGATTTGAACCTATTCCTTAATTAAAATATTGAAGTCCTCTCATCTGTTTAAAATCACCTGTACAGTTTGTTAAAGACAGTAAGTCTGGATTGGAATAAGAAGTTCTCTTCAGCTATCTCACTTTTTAAAGGTATAAGCATTCCATAGGTAATCCTTTCACTAGCAGATAAATTGATGACTTGGTTTATTTCAAAAACATATTGGCAAATTATGGCCTGTAGGCCAGATTCAGCCCAATGCAGGTTTTTGTAACTTTCCTTTGCCTGTTTGCATGTTGTCTCTGGCTGCTTTGGGGCTAGAATGGCAGAGCCAAGTGGTTGCAACAGAGACTTTAGGACCCACAAAGCCCAAAATGTTAGTGGTCTGGCCCTTTACAGCAGTGGTGTCAAACTCATTTTCAGTGGGGCCACATCAGCCCAACCGGCCCAATGTAATTTTAGGACAGTATAAATGTAATTACTCCTTAACTGTTAAGAAAATGAAATAACACTGGGCCCTTTGAAGGCAACTGCCAAGCTGATGTGGCCCCCAGGGAAAATGAATTTGACAGCCCTGCTTTACATGAAAACTTTGCCTGCCCATTTGAGAATATTTAACCATGTGATCCCCTTACATTGCCCTAATTAACTTTATTTTCTTAATACTTAAGAGTAGGCTTGAGTTTTTTATTCTCAGTCTGGAATGACCTTAGTGGGGTTACCTGTAAGATCCCTGATGCAAACCCTTGCCAAAGTGCATTTCCTCCTAGTGCTCCAGCCCCTCCACCCCATCTGCCCCTCTCTCAGAAGACAGACACACCTGCTGATGGCTGCCCCGAGGCACTGACTGATTTGCTCTTCTGGGAGCCAGCTGAGACACACACACTAGCACAGAGCAGAGATTCACCTCTGCATGCGCTTAGCTTACTACTGAATTTGATCTATCTCTTGGCCATTCTTACGTAATTAGTTCTTTAAGCAATAATTAACATTTGAGCCTCTTCTCAGTCTCACTTACTTTTTTATATCTTTATACATGGGCCCTTGAAAAATGGAGACAGAATGGTCCCCCCCATTGCCTTCCTGGAGTTGGCCTGGTGCCTTCATACAGCATATGTATTTAATAAGTATCTACTAGGTGGCTGATGTAGTGCCTTGTGCAGAGCATATGTTGGGTCAATCTCTTCTGGCATGTGAAGCAGTCTTATTGGAGCAATACCCCCATTGTAGAGCTTCCTTTTCTTTTTCCCATAACACTCTGCCTTGTCTCATTCATGGCATAGAGAAAGGTTAATCAAATTTAGGCCAGTAACTATTGATTGATTATTTTTCTCTTCCCCAGGCAGTGGTTACAATGGGTGTGGTTTTACAAGGTGCCAACCTATATGGCTACATCAGGTGCAAAGTGGGCAGCAGAAAGAATCTGACCAGCATGGCCACATCCTATCTGGGAAAGCAGTTCTTAAGACAAGTAAGTGTTTTTTGGATGGGAGGGTGAGTTCAATGTGGTTGTGACTAATGCAGTGATTTCTGACTTGTGTAGAGTTTCATTTTTATGAAATGCTTGAAGTTTTTTAATGCACCTATTTAAGTATGAGATCATGATACTTTTGGGAGGCTTTAGAACATTCCAGAAATGTATTGTCAGTGTCTTGAAAATATTTTAAAACCAGAGAGATAAACTGTCATTGATAATAACTTACTTTATTTTAAAATATCATCAGTTCAGTTGCTTTTCATTAATTGTAGTGTCTCTGAAAGTTTTAAAGAATGCTGTTGTATGGTTTTAGGGTTTGTATAGTAAGAACAAGTAGAAACAACATAAGATTAAAGATATTTTTAAAGTACTCAGATTTTTTTTTTAGAACATACAGGTCTTATCACGGTTCCCTAATACAAGTATTTAAATCAGGGTTCTCAGTGGGATAAGCAGTATTTGTTAAATCTCTTGGGAAAAATGATGATATCTTGGTTTGCCTATGGTAGGTTGGGCAAGCAGTGTTGTGCTGGACAGTGGTGCTCAAACCTGAGCGTGCACCTGAGAGGCTAAAACACAGATTGTCGGATCACACCTCCCAGCTTCCTTATTCAGTGAATCTGGGAGTGGGTCTCATAATTTGCATGTCCCCAGTGGGTGCTGATGCAGCTGGTCCAAGGACTGTGTTTAGAGAACTAAAGCCCTGAGAGATGAAGTTCCTACTCAAGTATATACAGCTAATAAGTGGTACAAAACTAGGGCTTAATTCAGCTTTCCTCTCTTAAAATCCATTGTTCTTTTCATTCTAGTGTACAGTTTCTCTTATATAAAGAAGTGGGGAAAACGAATATTCTTGTAGGGACATGATTCTCCTCCTGAGGGTTTTTGCACGGCCCCAGTATATACCTTTGCTGTGGTCCACCTTGTGCTAGTTGTCAGATGTGTACTTTAGTTTTTTCCCTTGGAATTCCCAGTGTTTCTGAAGTAGGGTGTCCTTTGCATACAGGTGAAACTGGATGTTGAGCCTGATATAACATGTCTAGGATTAGTAGGTTTACAAGGCACCTGGAGATGCTTTGCTAAAATGAGAATGGCTTGCTGGACATTTTGGTGGATCCATTGATTTGCTTCTCTAACATATTTGTAATTTTTAACCTAATTGGACCATTGAATGTAAGTTAATATAATAGCTGGATCTGCTTACAAATACAGAATATTTTCCTAGTGCTTTGAAGTCTGGTATGTTATGTAAAACAGTTTTTTTGTTTTTTTTGTTAAGGAGTTCTTACTCTTTTGCAGAATACTGGAGATGATCAGACCTGAGGAGAGAGAAAGCCTATGTATTCTGTTACATTGGGAAAACTGAAGAGATTCTTGACTCTGAACATTTTAGAACTCAGTACATGTTGCAGAGAGGAGTGTTGGGTTTGTTTGTTCATTTTTAAATTTACTTAAAAAAACAAAAAGTGGTTTTCATATTAGGTTTTTATTTCTAGCATTTGGGGCTTGAAATATGCTGCTAGAAGTATTGTCAGAGTTGGGTTCATGGTGTGTGTTTGTGCGCGCAGTCGTGTAATGTCCATGTATTGCACTTGGTGAAAGTGTTTATCTTCATGTACATATGTAATAAAGACCTTTGCATTTTGATCTGTAGAATGTAGAAGGATGTTCTTAATCTCATTTCAAAACTCTTATGTGTTTATATATTATTTCTGTAGATTATCTTCAGAAGAAAGTTTTGTTTTCATGGTAAGAGCAAGCACTTTGATTTATGTGTAAGTTAGAAATAATAATTAATTTTACAACTTAATATATACTCATGATGAAATTTCTTATCCTAGACATTCATTGGCAGATTAAAACCAAATCTGGGTTAGTGGTGTGAACTAGTTTGTAAAATTTTATTTATTTTTATTTGTAACAAGTCATGTATTATGGGCCCAATTCATATAAATGAATCTTCACAGTTTGTATGTAAGAGATACCTAGAGATTGCGGCTGTTCTGTTCATTTTGGGGGAAGGGTAGCCAGACTTTACTTGGAACTTCCCGGAAGAGCTTCAGTGGTATTTGGCTTAATGAAATCTGTCTTTTACCACCAAAAGAGTATTATTCTTATGTCATAGTAAAAATAATCAGTTAAATACCCGGCATAATAAATGCCTAAAAAACATTTTATTTTATGAATCTTTTTTCCTTGCTATAGTGGGGATATTATAAATCATGCATTATATTAATAGTTCTTAAAAAACAATATGTGTAACAGTCTAGAAACTGTTATAGAATCTGTAAATTCTTTTGTAGGTATACTTAAACTTCGCTGGAGTCTTAATCAACAGATTATTTTGTTAGTGTATTTATATATTGTTAAAAATTTATAAAAGCTGTTTAATTGGAGTGATAGCTTTGAAGGTGCATAACTTTATATTTGTATAAAACTCTACTGTTTACAAAGCACTTTGACATGTGTAGTCTCATGTAATCCTCATGACAGACCTGTTTTGTCACCTGTGTACAGGTGATGAAATGTAGTTCAGGTTAGTGATGACTTGTCCAAGTACACATGGGTTACAGGAAGACTGATTAGGGTACATTACTGTTTTTAAAGGAAATACTTGTCTCTAATGTCTTTTCATTCTTTCTTAAGATGTGTGAAAGAAACATTGATTGGTTGCCTCTCTCATGACCCCAGCCAGGGATCTGCCCCAAAACCTGGGTGTGTGCTCTGACTAGGAGGAAATGAACCAGCGATCTTTTGCTTTGCTATATGAAGCCACACTGGTCAGGGCTCCTTGGTATTTATTTCAATGAAATAAAACTTATGTCCACACAGAAACCTGTACGTGGATGTTTACAGCAGCTTTCCTCATAATTGCCCCAAACTGGAAGCAACCAAGATGTCCTGCAGTATGTGAATGAAGAAACTTTATTCCATTCAGACAATGGGATGTTATTCAGCACTAAAAAGAAATGAGCCATCAAGCCACGAAGAGATTTGGAGGAACTTTAAATGTATATTAGTAATTGAAAGAAGCCAATCTAAAAAGGCTGCCAGTTATACAGTTTCAACTGTATGACATTCAGGAAAAGACAAAACTATGGAGACAGTAAAATTATCACTGTTTGCTAAGAATTGGGGTGGGGAGAAGAATGAAGCATAGAGGATTTTGGGGGCAGTAAAATATTCTGTGTGATATAATACTGGGATTATCTCATTATATAGTTGTCCAAATTTGCAGAATGTACAACACCAAGTGTGAAGCCTAAAGTACAGCATGGACTTAGTGTGATTATGATGTGTCACTGTAGGTTCATTGATTGCCACTAGTGTCAGGAATGTTGTTAACAGGGAAGGCTGTGGATGTGTAGAGAGTATACGGGAAATCTTTGTGTCACCCTCTCAATTTTGTTGTGAATCTTAAAGTAGTCTAAAAAGTAGTCTTAAAAAAATATCAGAAGAGATTTCAGATCAATAGTGTAATCTTTCACCTCAGGAAACTAGAAAAAGAAGAGAAAGTAAACCCAAAGGAAAGAAAAGGAACTGACTAAGAAAAAAAGACTAAAATGACTAAAATCAATGAAAGAGGGGACATCGCCACTGAGAAAAAGCAATCCTAACTGAATACTTTTGTGAAGTGAATGGTTGTCCCAATAGAACATAAAGTATTTTATACCTATTTTGTGGTGTTAACATTGTCATAAGCATTCAAACATTGTGCTTTCTCCAAAAAGTTTTTCATGTGGCCCATTTCATCCTCACAACCTTCTTAGAAAGCAGGAGGTGTTGCATGGAGGAAGATGTGGTTGTAAAGAACTTGCGTTTGAGTCACGCCAACTCTGGTTTGTGGATCCAGTTCTGCATCCTGGCTTTGACTTTGAACAAGCTACTCGTTCTACTTTTACAGATGAGGCAGTAAGCTGAGTGTCATAACATTACCTACTCTTCAGTGTGGGGGACAGGGGATGGAGAGGTCCTTAAGGATTAAATGAGATACATAAGCCACATAAATATTCAGTTTAGTCTCAAACACATGGCAAGCACTTGGTAATGGTAACTCATTTAGAAAGGAAAATAGAATTACTTAGCTAGTTAAAGGTAGGGCCATCAGAATGCTTCTGTTCAATTTAGATTCACTTCCAATTTATGGCATAGAGAACTTAAAGAAAACAAAACAGTTACAGGAAAGAATGTATATTCTTTTTTATTTCACTTAGACCAAGTTAGATCATGAGATTGTGAGATGGTAACTTGCTGTAACATTCATTTATAATTTATTTTATATTTGATACACACCCTGTCATGTTCTTCAGATTGTTGAAATTCAACTGTGCTATGGAATCTTCATATTGGGAACTTGTGCGTCGTCCACTAGATGGCAGCACATCAACGTAAACTATATAAAACAGCTACATTGCTGCACCTTATTTACTTGATCTAATGGGGAATGATGGTTGTCCTGGAAAATTAGCCTGCAAGTAGTGCGTGAGGACTAAATCCATGTTTCTTGTTGTTCAGTTAATTAAAATCAGTGCTGATGAGTTAACAGATGCCAAATGAGTAGGTACACTAATATATTTAGTACCCACAATATATCGTACACTGAGATAGCTACTACAGACACAGAGATGCAGGAACTATGTGTGATATACGTGCCAGCCTTCCTCATACCGCCAAACACACCCACCCCTTTGAGCAAATGAGAATGCTAAGGATTAAAAGGCCAGTAGCTTTCCCAGGGTCATACCCCTAGAGAGAGGTGAAGCCAGGACTTGTTAATCAATGAGCGGGGGGGGGGGGGGTGGGGGGTGGGGGGGTGGAGGGAGAAGATGACTTTGAATTTAAGATATGTTGGGTTTGAAGCCAATGGTCACAGCCAAGTATCACAGTGGGATGGAAACCTGGAATTCTACTTTAGCATTGGGAAAAGGTATATATTTGGCAGGCATTTCTGTAGAGCAAATTTGAAACAGTAACAATGTGTGGAGCTGCCTGTGGCAAAAGTGTCTGTTAAAGAGCAAACAGCTAAAGTGCAAGGAGCATGGGTAGAGGGCGAAGGATACCTGCACTGAAGGCAGACCCGGGTGTAAATCATGGCTTCTTACTCACTGGCTGTGTGTTCTTGGCCAAGATACTTAATCCCTTTGACCCTTTGTGATAACCCTATGAGGAACATTTATTTTTATTTACAGATGGGGAAATAGAGGCTTTGAGAGTATGGGAACTGACCCAAGGTCGTGGTGTATCTAGTACGTGATAGCCCTAAGATTTTGACTTGGGCTTACATTGCCAAGCACCCACACTGCCTAGAAATTCCTTGTATGTCTGTTAGTCTCCTTGTATCATTTGAGGTTCTTGAGAGAAAAAGAACCAGCAGGAGAGAGATATGTATTTACATATCATAGCTATGTATCAGTAGGATATATTCCTTGAAATATATCTCTATAAAAATATCCATATACCTAGCATGTACGCAAACAAACACAAAGACAAGGAATGGGCCTGTGCAATTGTGGGAGCTGGCAAGCGCTGTTTAGTTGGGCAGAACTGCAGGCTCTTGGGCAGGCACTTGGGTGTCCTGCAGTTTCCAGGACACCTTTCTTTTTCCTCGGGAACAATCTATTTTGCTTGGGTCTTTTAACTAATTGTGTTAGACCCCCCCACTTTATCTAGGGCAAACACTTTTAGTTAAGGCAACAGTTGAAGATGTTAACCATGTGCACAAAGTACTTGCACAGCAACATGTAGGTAACTGAATAAATAACTGGGCACTGTAGCCTAACCAGGTTGACACACAAAACTAAGCACCACACTCCTGCAGTTTATAATAAGCTCTGCAACAGCAGGAATCCGAGCTCTGATTTGCCTTTCTGTTCCCAGTGCCTAGCCCAATGCTGGGCACCAAGTGGCACTCAATGATCATTAATTGAGTGTAAGTGAACATATGCATCCTGCTGTCAGCTGTAAACCTGAGCCAGGTTGCAGGCTCTTCCAGAATCACACATTAGTTCTCTGGGGCCCCTGCATGGAGCGGCGGGAGGTGATGACAGTGAAGCAGCTGATGGTCGTTGCTAGCTGGGGCTGTGTGTGGGGGCTGCCACCACCAGGAGCTGAGGAGGGGTCCTTGTAGGACACTGTGCTGTGAGTGTGTTCTCCGTTTTTTGGTTTCTGTTGGCACCTATTTCTACCTCCTGAGGCTATTTGTAACTTTGTCTCTTGTCGTGAAGCACAAAGGTTTTCAAGTTGAGGTTAGGTAAGGTGGCATACCCTTGGATCTGTGAGTGCCTGTGGCCACCGAAAGACCAGCTCTGTGAACATCCTTCTGAGACCCAGCAACCCTTCTGAGAAAAGACAGAGTGGACAGTGGGCCCACCCAGATGTTGATAACATCAACTAAGGATTAGGCCACGAATGCCCTCCCTTTGGAAGCCTTGAGCGTCTGATTTTACATCTCCCTCCACTTTAAAGAGAATGGTGTCACCTACTTGGTGAGAATTGAAAAACGTCTTGGAATGCTTGCTTATCTTTTTTCCTCCTTTCTCTAGGATTACATCATGCTGCCTTCTAGAATTCTGTCTTTCACCTGCTTCCTTAGATTTATCTACAGGAATAGTCTGGCAACAACCAAACACTTGTCTTGATACCCTATACCCAGGGCCGAGGTAGACTGTAGGAGATAAGACTTGTTCAGATCTCGAAGACCTGCTTAATAAAATAGTACCGGGGAGGTAGAATTCTTGCCAGGACTGACCTGTATACCCCCCACACCCACAGTTCATAAGTTGAGGCCCTAACCCCCAATGTAACTATATTTGGAGATAAGGCTTTTAGGAGGTGATTAAGGTTAAGTGAAGTCATAAGGGTGAGGTCTTAATCTGAAAGGATTAGCAGCATTATAAAAACATAAGAGAGGGGTCTTTCTTTCCGAGTACACACAGAAAGGAAAGGCCACGTGAAGACACAGAGAAGGTGGCCCGCCATCTGCAGGCCAAGGAGAGAGTTGTCATCGGGAGCTGAACCAGCTGGTGCTTTGAGCTGGGACTTCCAGGCTCCAAAACTGTGAGAAGTTCTGTTTAAGTCCCACAGTCTGTGGTATTCTGTAAGGGATGCCCGAGCTTACTAATTATAATGAATTGTGATATTTTAAAGCTTGTTTAATAGAGGACGTAAAATGT